TATCAGTTTTACAACTTTTACACTAATAAAATGTTTACGTCAGGCGATTGCTGTTTTTAAAATTTTTTCCGATTTTAATACAAATTCGTCCGTCTCAGATCACAATTTTATGTCTATTTTAATTCTCTGAAAGGATTTTCAATTCCGTTCAATCAATTCGGAAAAATTTACTAAACTGTAATGTGTCGGTAATTTCTACCTTCCAGCATCGCCTTAATGCAAAAGAAAAACAAAAATTTTACTACCTTTGAAAACAAATTTTTTTAACTGTGTATTGTATAACACGAAAATACAAACTTATAAAAATAAAAAAACAGATGGCAATTTTATAAAAGCCAAATAAGAAACTCGAGTGAAAATTATGATCGCTTTCAATGCCAGCAATTTTTTATTTTAGATAAAAAGATATTAACGATTTAAAACAAAATTATAATTTAAGTATATTATTATTTACTATATTTGATTGTTCATATTATCAATTAACTTATTGCACAGAAAGGCAGTTGCAACGACTATAGATGTATAATTTTTTTTTATTTTACGGCAATTTATCTTTTATCTTTCGAAAAAAAATCGATTGAATGGTCTGCAATTAACTTATTCTTTTCTCCATTAAATTTTTTAAAAATATGTACAAAGTAAAATCTACATATGTCTTAATATTAATTTTGATACTAGATTCTATGTAAAAAGATAATAGATGAGTGTCGTAGAATATCGCGGAAAATACCTAAAATCTCAAAATGTACGTATTTTTTAAATAACTTTATTTTTGTTTTGAGGTTGATGGATGACATTTTGATATTTTATAAATTCTTTTGTAAATTATGAATTTTCGATTTTTAATACCTAAGACTTTCAAATGCAATTTCTGAGAAGTATTCATTTAAATTTAAAAAAAGACAGTTATAAAGAGAATTTAAAAGAGCTTTAAAACGATGTCATTTTATATCTGTTACTATTAATATTTCTAAAAAGATAGCTATTCTAATCAAGAAAATGAAGTATCAATTCGTCATAATCATAGATCTCCTTTAGAAACAAATTTATGTATTTCGACATATTTAGTACACATTAGTTTTTTACAAAAATGCGGAAAATTATTGATTCATATTGTATACACATAAACACATGTAATTATATATAAAAAAATATGCGAAATGGAAATAATACATATTGCAATAGTAAGCAGATTTAGTTTTATTATAAGTAAATATTATATTATATATTAATCATATATTTAGTTTGTAATATGAAATTTTATTTTTTATTAATTGAATATTGATATTATTCTGAAGCTTTATAGTTTAGCTCATAAAAGAGATTTCTATGCATAATTAAAATTTTCTATAGAAATTATTTTGAATTATATTAATATTACTAAAATTCTAATTAATTTAATAATTATCAAATTTTTAATTTTTTTTGTTTTATAAATTTTATAAGATTAAAAAATAAAAATAAAGAATATACTGTAAATAATGACTTACAGGATATTGTAATATATAATTCCATCTTATTCTAGATTTAGTGTCTTATCGCAGATTGCAGCTCCTTGGGAAAAGCATTCTCCTTTGTCAATCTACCAAGGATTGCAATTAAAAAAAATTTGTGTAGATTAGGAAATCACTGCTATTGTGCCACTATGTACAATACATAGCTTACTTTTGGGAAATTATTAATAAAAACTAAAACTATTGTATTCTGAATATTTACAATGTATCTAGAAATAAGAGATTAGAAATAATTTCCTTTCCTAGAAATATCTGTTTACGTTTCTTATAATACATATCGAGTGGAAGATTTACATCTCGTCTTTATTATCTTTGGACTTCTTCGTGAAACCTTTGGAGACTAGCAACTCGTTACATTCCTCTCGAGTCAACTTGGACAATATTATTCTTTCTACTTCCTGCAACATTTTCAGAAATTAATAGTAGGATATTATTATAGATCTAATAATTATAATCAGAGTAGTATTTTTTTTTATTGAACCTCATCATGTACGTTGAATAACACAAGTTCTGGTATTGCACCTGGGATATGCTTGAATTCCACATTGTCACTGTATATGTGTTAAAGAAAAAATAAATAATATAGTTCAAAAAAATCTCGAGTAAATTTGTTAATATTTTTGTTATTTTTTAAGATATTTTTAAATACTTTTACATTAAAAAAGTCTTTTAATAAATTATGAGTAGATTATGAAAATATGTAAAACACATTTATATAATGAATTTTTATAAAACATGTAATTATTTTTATAGAGAAGATTGGTTGATTAGACGCAAAATCGAAAACCTATTATGTGAACAGTACAATATAGACTTTATTTCAATTAAATTTAAAACTAGTTTTAACTAGTGAAATTGAGTTTTAACGATTATGGGTTTTGACGATAACATATACAATTAAATGCTAAAATGTATCTTGAAAACATTTCAAAATGTTTGAAAGTAAAGCTGCGTTAGGCAAGCAAGTATAGCAAATGCTGGTTATTGTGTATTAACATATTATCGCTGTATAACAGGGGACTGTTAAACAAATGAATCAGATAATTATTATTATTAATATAGATAATTATTATTATAGATTAGATAATTATAATTTGCTACCTAATGATAATGAAGACATTAAGGCTGCGTTCGCTTTGGTGCTTCTAATGCTCACAGTATCACTTCATCCTTATAATTATTTATCAAATATTAAAGGATAAATAATGCTCAAAACGCTGTAAGTGCCAAATCGAATGCAGCCTAAGAGAAACTTTATACCTACAAGGGCTATAATAACACATTTTCTATATAAAATTTTTAAATTTGTCTAACTTTTTATTAACTGTCAAATATCAATGTGATCATTAAATCATTTTGTATGTTGCATGCCCATATATATATATATATATATATATA